GCGAGACCAGCGGCTTTCACGTAGATGTGCGACGTCCACGCTCAGTCGCCTCCTCCGAGGTCAAGTAAGTGCAGAGTGAGCTACTTTACCTACCTTACGCATTACAACTCAAATCTGCTTTACAGCTATAAGAATCTGGGACGCAAGAGCTTCAGCTTCACCAATCCGCAGGTGCGCGAGATCGAGCGCCAGAATAACATTTTATTGAAGAAAATGATGAACGTGAAACCGACAATAAAGCCAACTGTCAATATGGTCAAATCCAATACCAATCTCCAAGCTAAGGTAGGCGTATACAAAACACATTTATATATGTACATACATATCGATCTATCTCTACATAGAATCAAGGGCCGCCTGTAGCACGCCGCACTACCGCCGCCGTCAACCGCAAGAAGTACCAAAGGCAGATTGACTTGGACAACGATGTGTTGAAGCGCAAGCTGGAGGCCGTGGGATCGCGCCGACCCATATTCAAGTGAGCTAGCTCATCAGCCAGTTGTTGATTTTGCATTGATATCCAAAATATTATAATTTTAGAAATGTTTAAAGCGAATTTACAAAATTAAAATTTTATGCAAGTTAATGACTATGATTGTGAAAATATATATATTAATATCTATGTGTGAATGAGTATCAAAGGTCGTTATAAATTTCTAGTGTGAATGTAAAAACACATATAGCAGAAATTTAAATTAAAACTTTGGAAATAAAATTTGAAGTAAATGTTAGTATTGTATAATCTAATTTGTCTTCAATTGGGGGGTTCTCACAGGGTCACCTCATTGATCTTGGTCAGGAAGGTTTCGCCCAACGCTTTGACAGCCTTGAATGCAGTCTCTCCATTTTGCTCCTTGAACTCGGCCTCGTTCTTCAGTTTTGTCTGCTCGCGCTGCTCTATTTCCCTATATATGACTTGACCAATCTGAAAGGATTTGGATATTGATATTATTGATATTATTGCGAAACAAGCTTCTGCTTAGAATACTCACATAAACATCTATAGCCGCATACATCAGTTGATTCTCGTCCAGCGGTATCACATGCCATTTGCTCATGCGCACCTTTTTGCTCTTGTCCATTGCCTTCTTGGCTATGAAATTGGCCAATCTCTCCAGGCTCCATCTGCCGCCCGTCTCGCACACCTCATTGCACCACACGCCCAAATCGACGCACTTCTCGATCAGCGGCTCAGCCGCTACCTCAGGAAAGTCGCGTGCCAATTTCCGGAAATCGCTAGAAGTTTGAATATATATCATATATATTAGTGAACAGCGTGTATTTGAAATATATAGGTAAATATACTTAGAGTAATCTAGCCTAAGTCTCACCTGCTTCACGTTCATTCTAACAACTAGTCGGTTACTCCCTAATCTTATTCTCTATATGTATACTCCACACTTACGCCTTTATATTCACGCCATGCAGCCGTACTTTGGGATGATTTATGAGTGCGACCAGCGCAGCTGGAATCTTCTTTAGTTTGCTTAGCTGATACACATAGCAGCAGCGCTCATCGACGCAAATTTGTATGACGGATGACTTGCCGGGCCCTGTTTGAAAAGAGAAAGGCCACTCCATATCAAAGGCCATGGGCACAATTTCAGTGTGCGTTTGCTGATCCACCCACTGCCTGAGAAATCAAAATATCAATCAATATATAAATACATATTAATATCTAATTACATGTCGGCACTTACATGACCTCATCTGCCGAGGCGGCAATCTCTTGACTTTCCGTGAAATATTTGATGGCACCACGATACTTTATGAAAGGCAACTTCTCTGGAATTTCCTTCTCCGGTGAGGGCGTTCCAACATCTGCCATGGAGCGTGTGCTACGCGTCACTCGAGTGCTGCGGCGCTTGGGTGGATTCTCTACCTCGGCGTTTTCTTTGTCTTTCACCTACATTGGGATATCTCAGTTATATCAGCTGATCTGCAGTCAACTATTTGCTTACTATTTCTGGCGTATCCAAATTCTTTCGTTTATTAGCAATTGCACTTTGTTCCTTTACGACTCTTTTTGGCTTCGGCTTTTCCTCCTTAACAGATATTTTCTTTAACGAAATAAAACTTAACTTAGTGTATTCTACTATTATATTTAATTTGTAATACATACTTCTTCTGACACCACATTTTTTGTTGATTTTATCGGCATTTTAATTATATATTTATCCATGCCCTCTTTGATAAGTTTGTTTACAATAAATTGCCGCCAAAACACTTTACAGTGTTGATAAGTGCTTGCAATAATTACTCCGCTCAGTTTCCAATATGTTGCACTTGTCATAGCGATAGTTGAACATCGTTTGATGAACAGCTAATAGCTATAATTGCTCATGAACCTATATTTATATATAAGAGGCACACAAATGTTAAACATTTTTGTAAATTATCAAATTGTTTTAACTATGATGTTCAACTTGATTTAAAAACGCTTTGCTCTTGACAATACTATCGAAGGCTATCGCGTTTTAACAGCTGTTATGCTCATTTTGGTGCTGTTCAATAACAGCGCGGCTAAATGTTAAAGTTATAGATGCCAAAAACATATGTTTCGGCGCCTAGACTGGCATAACTTTATTTATTTTCAATTTAAAAACTTAAATTAATCATACTGTCAAGATGTCTACAACGGTGGGTGCCCATTATATATCAGAGAAGGTATCTCAGGTCCGTTGGCTGCCAGAGAAGCTGACGAAGAGCGAACGCTTCGTGACCGGCACATGGGACATGGATACAAATTTTGTGCGCGTCTGGCGCCTCTATGCGAATCCATATGCAGAGAATGTGGAGCACACACCACGTTGCAACGACAAGATGGCAATTGAGGGCGATGTCACGGGCATAGAGTTTGTCAATGATGATACTTTTGCAGTGGGCTGCAGCGACGGTAAGCGAAAGAAACTATAAAGATATTCTCATTCATATATAATATTTTGCTGCCTGCAGGTCGTCTTAGCTTATTTAACGTGCATCGAGCCGTCGAGGAGGATCAAATCCGACGAACAGCACACAGCGAACGTCTACACTATTACAAATGCAGTCAAGCAAATGCGCCCTGCACAGCAATTTCGGTATACGGCACGGACATCGCGACCGTGGGCGAGGATGGACGCCTCAACGTGCTGAGTGCCAACAATTTGAGGCAGGTGAAGCGCACCATTGAGGCGGACAGCATGAGTCTACTGGCCGCCTCCTTTGTCAACCAGAATCAGGTTGTGACGGCCAATCGAATGGGCGTCATTCGCTTGTTCGATGTGCGCACGGCGAGCGATGGGCAACCGACAATCTCATTTATGGCCGCCAGCCAGGATTCGAAAAGCTCGAACTTTGTCTCGGCCATAGTCACGCATCCCATGCAACAGCACATACTCATCTGTGGCAGTGAGGAGGGCTCCATTACGGTCTGGGATCTGCGGCATCTGAATTTTCCAGCTTCCTACTTGAGTGCCCATAACACGTCCATTACGGACATTGGATTTCATCGCCAAGATCCCTCTAAGCTATTCACTGCAGCGGAGGGAGGTGAAGTGTGGATGTGGTCGGATAACAAGCACCTTATTGATGCCAGCCAGACTGATAGCAGCAGTGCCTGGCTAGCCGGCGACCGATTGCGTTCCCTGGTGAATGTCGATGGCATCTTGACCAACATACGCAAAGCAATCAATTCATTCGATGTCCATGGCTCCAGACTGATCTGTGGCAGCGACTCAGAAGCCGTTTATATTATCAACGATGTTTAAGGATTGCCCAATTTCTATTCCAGTTCAAATACATTTGTAATATTCTATTTTTAAACCAACTTTGTGTTTGCTTAATATGTTAAGATAATTTGAAGTTGGAATCGTATTCATTTGGCAGAATAATTTCAAATGCAGTGATAACTGATGACTTATGGCAAATATCTAATGACTTATGGCTGATAACTAAACTAATATTTTGTGGCTGATTTCTGTGAACTCAAGATTAATTATGATTGCTAATGACTGATGTCTGATGTCTAATGACTGCTCACTGAAGAACTGATGCCTAATGAACTGATATTTACGCATTCACCAGCTCCAATAATACTTAAGAATAATAATAATAATAATATACAATATTTGACTGGTATAATTCACATACTAGTCTATTTCAAAGGATAAAGTCCATCAAACCCGTTGACAAGTTTTGAGCTTTGTTTGAATTCGAAATATCCCCAACTTGATAATGCCTTATTTTCAAACGCATTTCGATGAAAATTGAACGGAATTGAACAGGTTTTATACACAGTCCATATTCATTGGAAAATCACGTTATTAGTATTTTTATTTTATTTTATTTTTTTAAATATATTTTATGCATTTTATTTTCAGTATTCGCAAAATTGGCTTAAATCAAAGCACCTGTCTTACATAATATATGGCTAAGAATACAGCTACAATTAAATATACAATGTCTTATATATATTATATTTATATATTTATCTGGGTGCTGTGTGGGAGCTACATAAGCGTAGTCAAGAATATGAAGCTACAAAATTCTGATTCAATATGAAAATTTTAAAAGATTTAAAAATTAAATTCAAAATCATAATAAAATATTCAATATTCCATTCAGAAGAAAAATTATCATAAAAAATGATGAAAAACTGGGCTGCTTTTTAAAATAGTTTTCTCGTTTTCAAATAATTGAAAATATTCTTTAGTTTTAAACAGATTTTTGTGGATTTGTAGTTCATATTCATTGTTTCATTGCCTAGGTTTGTGTCTGACTTAAGGTAATATTTCTAATCGTTGGCTAATTTTGGATAGATTTATGCGTGTTTTTCAACTACCATATACATACACATATGCGCTATTCTAACTATTCCATCAATACATTGACATTAGTATATACGTATGTATGTATTTCTATGCTAAGTGAATAATAAATACAAAATTATTTCTGGCTCCTTTTAGATATTTACACTTATGCGATTAGGCCTCAATTAGTTTTTGTTTTATAATCTTTCATTTTGTTTTTTTTTAATTTCAATTTAACTTTGAGCATTTACGATTGGAAATATCTCGGGGACTGGATTTATCTGGAACTGTATTATCTTCGAGTCATTCCCAACTCTAATAGAATCGTTCGAATTTGGGCGGCTTGTTGAGTGCGCAGAAATAATACCCGGAATAGTTTTGTGTGGGTGGAGTATAGTCGCCGATGCCGTAATTCCCATATTCATAGTTCGCCAAATGTGCGTGGGCGTGGTGATGCATATGTGTGTGCGGATACGGATGCGGATGTGGGTGTGCGTGTGCGTGTGAGTGAGAGTGCGTGTGCGGAGGGTGATAATGCTGAAAACCGCCTGCACTGCGCGGCTTTTGTCATGTGAGAAGAGCACCACCAATGCCGGCAGAGCCACCGTTGCCACCATTGCCACTGCCGCTGCCGTTCGAGTTGTTGCCGTGAACGCGCATGTGCCGATTCAGGTTGCCCGATTGCGAGAATCTAGACGAATTTGGGGTTACGTTTAATTGGGAGTGATTCCAGTTGGGCGGCTTCCAGTGCAGCCGGGGAACACTCACCTGAGCAAACACAATTTACATTGGTAGGGCTTCTCGCCGCTGTGGATGCGCAGATGCTTGGTCAGCGTGGAGCTGTCCGAGAAGGACTTCTTGCAGGAGGAGCAGCGATAGGGCCGCTCGCCGGAATGGGTTCGCATGTGCGTGGTTACGCTGGAACTTTGCGAGAAACGTCTATCACAAATGGGACAGCGGAACGGCTTCTGTCCGGTATGTGTGCGTACGTGGGCCGTCAGATTGGCGGCCTGTGAGAAGCTCTTGTTGCAGTCCGGACATCGGTACGGCCGTTCGCCGGAATGGGTACGCAAGTGCGTCTTCAATGTGCTCGGCCTCGCATACGTCTTGCCGCACAGCCGACATAGATTCGGCTTCATATCACCGCCGGCACTGCCCTCGCCATCAGCATCGCCATCCTCGATGCTCTCCTCCTCATCCTCGAAGGCGGACAGCCCGAGACTCAGTGCTGCTGCCTGATAGCTGGGACTCTTGTGTGGCGGCGTATAGCTCTGCCCGCCACCCGTCGCATAGTAGCCCAGCGCGGCGGCTGTGCTGGAGGCGGGCGGCGAGGGCGTCGACTCCTTGTCGGCCAGCGTGGGCAGAGCGCTGAGCGCACTCGGCGGCGGAGCGCGAAAGTCTGCCGTGAAGGAGTAGGTGGCCGAGGCCGGATAGTGCGTGGGACTCAGTAGCGGCGGATAGAGCACATTGACCGCCGCCGAGGAGCTGTTCGGCGGCGTCCAATTCATCTGGGAGCACGGCATGGGCACCGCACCCGCATCGGCGCCGTAGCCATGATGCATGGTCATGTTCATGCTCACATTGACACTCATGCTGGGATACATGGGCGGTGCACTGGCATTGGTGGCCGCCTCGTAGTAGCAACCGCTGCCCGACCCCGAGCCACTCCCGCCGACGAGCGGCCCGTTCCCAATGCCGGTGCTGTGGCCGTGGAGCGCGTTGCCACCGTGCGATGCCTGCTGCAAGTGCTGCGACTGCAGCTGATGGGAATGTGTGGACGACTGTGTGTGCGGCTGCTGCTGCTGCTGGTTCTGTTGCTGGTGCTGGTGCTGGTGCTGGTACTGCTGCTGATGGTGGTGCTGACTGCCTGTGGGTGAGATCAGCATCTGGTGCGGATGCACGGTGTAGGAGAGCGAGGCCTGGTGCGGATTGCTGGCGAAATTGTAGGACGCGCCGCAGGGCGAGAACGGGAAGAGGCTGGGCAGCGGATCGATGTCTAGCGGCGGTAGGCCCGGAAACGTGGATGCCATCTCGTCGGTGCTCCAGTAGCTGCCGTTGCCGGTCAGCGAGGCGACGCTGTTGCTGTTGTTGTTGCTGCTGCTGCTATTGTTGTTGTTGTTGTTGTTGTTGCTGCTGCTGCTGGCCGGCGGCGTGGTATTGATCTGGCCGCTCAGCACACCAATGGTCGGATCGAAGCAGCCGCCGCAATCGAAGTCGCTGCTGGTCAGCGAGGAGATGGGCAGGGCGGTGTTGCCTTGGCAGGATAAGCAGCCGACGCAGGATGCAGCGCACTCTTGCTGCAGTGGACGCAAAAGATGCCGCGCAGGAGGAGAGAAATAAAAAATGAAAATGAAAAAATCAAAAAACCACTTCAAGCACCGGTGGCAAGTGAATCGATTGCGAAGCGCGTCAATGTACCTGCGGACTGTCCAGCGCCAGGCCGAATAATGGATTATTGGGCACATAGCCCGTTTCTGGTTCCACAGGACCTCCGTTTGAGACATCGCACGATATGTACATAGCTCCACCCTCTTGATCTTCCAGGGAATCTGCGCAGGAGAGCAAATCATTTAGCATCATTGGAAAACTGCCAGCAAGCAATGCCCGTGCATTTCACACAGTTCACAACTGGCTGCGGACCACTGTGCGCCGCGCTAAACTCCGCCCCTAAACACATTCAAGCACAGACACACACACACACACACAAGCATGCACACTCACACACACACACACAGAACAGACGCGAGCAAATAAGCGCACGCGACGCCATTTGCTTTGCCTATGCTCTTTGCTCTCGCTCTCTCTTTGTGCTTCTCTTTCTTTCATATATCCTCGTTGGCTTTGCATCCGTATTTGGATTTTGGAAACTCACCCAGAATTATGTTCAAGAGTTTGGAACCTTTAAATAACAATCCCATGACATGACTCCAGCTGATTTTTGCGTTTTATTTCTTGTTTTTCTACGTTTCATTTTGTCGCATCAATTTCCATTTCCAGCTGCAAAAGTTGAACACAAATATTGAATTTATTTAGTCGAATATGTGAGTTCAATTATAATTGTAATTTATATACATATATTGTAAAGTATTAAATTATACATATATCCTTAAAAATATCTATAAAATGTAGATTAGGTTAAATATTAAAAAAAATATTTTTTGAATTTTTAAAAAATCAAGAAAGATTTTTTTAAAATCCGACTCTGAAGCTAGAAATTTTTTTTTCTGTATTTTTATTTATTTATTTTTTGTTTTTTCTTTTCTTTATTTTTGCGTACGTTTTGGGCTGCTGTGATATCACCGGATTTTGTTCCCATAAGTTTCCTTATGGTATCTTAAAGGACTACTTCTTCCCTTTAATCCATTTACAAATTTTATTTTACAAAGTTTTGGTCAGAATATTTAAAATATACTATATTATATACAATA